AGTAGGTTGCGGTGTCGAAGACAAGGGCCTCTGCTGATCGGAACCCCCTCACCCGCCTCTAGAATGGGACCCAGAGCAAGATGAGGGGGAGTGTTCTGAGAGCAGAGAGCAGGGACCCCCAGCTTGGGGAAGAGCCCCAGATGGGGTCCTGGTAGTGGGGGCTGGGGGCTCAGCGGGTAGAGGGAAGACTTGAGGGGCACATGAAGATGTTAGGAGATGTCAGACAGGACGGGAGCTCCCCCCGTGACGGCAGAGGCCATGTCTTTCTTGTCCCCTGCTGCATTCCCCTAGAACAGTGGCTGGTATGTAGTAGGTGTTCAATAAATGCGTCTGCAGTGCTTATTTAAGCATTAGGGAGGTGGATTTTGTCTCACCAGTAGTATAGCACCCCAGCTCCAATGCCTCCCAGCTGACAGCCCCTGAGCGAGCCGCTTAACCCCACACAGCCTCAGTTTCCACATCTGCAAAATGGGAGTAACAAGAGTCGAGCCTGGCTCTGAGGCCACCAAAGCGCCATTTCCTCTGGAGCAGCTTGAGAGCAGGACCCTCCCACCCCGGGCTTGGCGAGCGGGAACCTCTGTGAGGTTCCCCCACTCACGAAAGATAACTCGACTCGCTTCTGATGGCGCCGACGCCCATCAGCCTTGGGATGGTCACGAGGACCGTGCGCTGCAAAGCCTTCAGGCGATGCAGGCGTCACCGAGCCCCGCGGCCATGACAGACAGCAGTGGCAGGGCCGTGGTGATGAGAGCTGTCTTGTCCCACCTCACCCACTCGTGGGGCTCCAGGTGGCTGCGCAGACCCACCCTGGGTGCCGCTCAGACGTCCCTGGGCAGCTTTGGCAGCACCAGGCTTCACCACCAGGGGGCAGAAGCACCCCCCCCAGAGCAGGCCGTGCCTGGGAGGACCCGAGACGCAGGCCAGCTGAGGACAGCTTCCGTGAGCGTGTCGGAGCTGGCGGCCATCCACCCCTCACCCCCGGCGGGCCTGGCTCCAGCTTCCCCTCTGCCACTTGCTGACTCTGGCTCTGGGCATGTGCCTCGCCCCCACCCCCCACCCCCAGGCGAGAGGAGCACAGCTGCGGTGGCATCCCCTGGGCCCCCTGTCTGCTCAGAGTTCCAGAACTCTCTCATGTGGCCTCGAAGTCTGGAGGCCTGGGTTCCAGAGCTGCATTGACTTCCTGCAGTCCCTTCCGGCCGTCGGGCTGTCCGCCCGTGAAGTGAGGGGCGGAGCCAGGCTCCGGGGTTTGCAGACCCTTGGGTACCGGGAGAGTCCTCCAGATGCCCGTTAGTGAGCCCCAGGCCCTGCCCCCAAAGGTCCTGACGTGAAAAGTTTCGGTGCCGCGAGCCCATCCACGGTGCCAGGCCCGTCCTGAAGGTCCCCGCCGGTCCCAGTGCTTTACCTGTGAAGACAACCTCCGGGCCAGCCCGTCAGTGCCGTCATACCACCGGGGTCAAGGACACCTGGGTCACCGTCTCTGGCCACGCCCACAGGGAGCTCGAGACCTCCAAAGGGCTTCATGGGTTCTCATTTCCCCTGCCCCTCACACTCACCCCTGGAGGCTTGGGGAAGGGGGGTGGTGGAGGGCAGGGCCCCTAATCCTCACCCCATCTGTGTTACAGATGGGCAAACTGAGGCTCTAGAAATCACTGACTTGGTGGAGGGCTGGTGGACCGCAGTTCTGGCTGCTCAACTGAGGGCTCCGTCTCCCATGGGAGGGACAAGTCCTGGGGTCCCTCCCAGTGACCAGCGCCCTGTACCAACTCCCGCACCCACCCGGCTAGTGGGCAGGAGGGTGGAATGAAACTTGGGGGAGGAGAGGGCGTGTGTGGGGCCATCCGACCTGGCATGGAGCCAGGGCAAGGTTTGGGGATGCGTGATTGGGGCCCCAGTCTCCCAATCTCTTTGACGGAGGGCACGTCCCTTCCCTGCGTCTCGGCACCGACGGCCGCCCCTGCAGTACATTGGCTCAGTCCCCAACCCCCGTCAGGCCTGCGAGGCCCCGAAAGTGAGCAGAGGGCCTGGTGGGCGCCCAGAAGCCCTTTGCCCGCCCTTGGGGCCGGCTCTCCGCGCGAGCTGTCACGTGGGGGCCACGGGCCCGGGAGGCTGGTCATCTGATGCTCCCCCGGAAGCCAGAAATCAGGGTTTCTATGTCAATCTCCCCATTGTGAAACCTTGGCTGCGTTCAGTTTTGTTTTTTGTTTTTCTTGCCCACACAGCAGGCGGTGCGGGACGCATTTAGGGGCTTGACTCGGTTGGGGACCACCCAGCAACCCCTCCCCTTCTCTGGGGGTTTGTGATGGCCTTGCCCCTCCTGGCCTGCGCCTCAGATTCCAGCGCTGGCGGCTGGCTGCTCCCCTCGGCTGTCCCACTCCACCCCCACATCCCAGTCCCCCTCGCAGCCTGTGACCCGCCCGGACACAGGGCAACCACACCTTAACCTGAGTCTCCACCGCACCCTCCTTTTGGGCTATTGGGTGTAGACAGCTTTCACAAAGGTCTGCAGCCAGGGCCAGGGGGCTGTGACAGCTCATTCCTTAACACAGACCTTGGGACTGTCGATGGCTTCAAATTCCTCAGCCATCCCCACCTCCAGAATTTCTGGCTGGCCACTTCTCCCGGAACCCCGCTCTCCACCACCGCTCCCAGACCCCCTCCCGGCCCCTCCTCTTCTCCCCTCCTCTGACCTCCCACGTGCACTGCCCTTACCCACATGCCACCCATTTCCCCTTTAATTTCTCACCCAGAGGGGACCGCCCCCTCCCATTCTGAGTCGCTGCTCCTGCCAGCCGGCCGGCCCCCCAGTGCCAGCGCGAGTCAGGCTCTGCTCCCCTACACTTACTGGTAGTTACTCCACGCAACCAAATAACCTCCCGCATCCCTACTGTGCACTGGGCATGGGAACGTAGAGCTGAACCAGTTTTTACGCCTCTTGGCTCACGGCAACAGGATGGAAAAGGGGTGAGCAGAGGACGCCCCGGGGCCTAACCCAGGGTGAAGGCAGCTGGAGAAGGGTGGGGATGGCTGGCACCAAAAGGGCTGTGTGTTTCCTGGCCTGGGGAAGAGGCAATGGGTAGAGGGAGCACACAGGGGCCCCAGGGGTTTCTAAAGGGGTGAGAGACCCACACGACTGGGTACAGGGGCGGAAGGGGGAGCTCAGTCCCCCCCTGGCCTGTCAGCTCTCACCAACTCACATAGGTCTCGGCCTGGCGGATGATGGGCTCTGCGGGGGTCCACAGCCTCCAGTCTCCACTCCGTTGATCTTGAGCTCAGGGCCAGGTTGTCTGTGGGTCATGACTCTGCGTCCCTAGGATGAGGGTGACGTCTGACACACAGCAGGTGCTCAGGAAATGCCGACTGATTTTAACCGGGCAATGTACCCTTCTGAGGCTCTCCTACGCTTTAGACGGGGCTTTCTTGGCCCTTGAAACCACAAAAGAGGCTCATCCACTGCTTGGCCTGACCTTGGCAAACCATCCCGCCTGGGTCATCCAGGTCACTTGGCAGAAGGAGCCCCAGTTTTGGGGGCTGAGCCAGGCCCGCCACTGCCCCCTGCAGGCTGAGTCCTGTCTCCACACTACATCGCACTGAAGTAGCTGGCCCCCACCTGGGATGGAAGGAACCCCTTTTGCAGGGGGCGAAGGGGCAGATGTGTGAGTTCTGCCATCCAGGGGAAGCAGGAGATGCACACACCTGGCGTAAGGGACCCAGTGGCCTCTGGGGCTCGGTTCTCTCCTCTGTACATCATGGGGGGAGTCCTCTGAGCATCCCTCACTTACTCAGCCCCTTCAAGGATCAGCCCCCCTATCTCCACACTGACTTACCAGGGAAGCGCTTATGGGAAGACATGGGACCGGGGCTGTGGTATCATCAGAACTTGCTCAGCACAGGCACGCCCCCAGGAAAGGCCCAGGATGTAGGATGAGGCAGCTACTGTTGTGTGCTGTTTGATTGGGGGGCAGGGGAGGAAGGGGGGATGCAGGCCTGTGCCGCGTGCTTGGAGACCTGGCCTGGCCCAGCTTTGCTGTTTGCTGATTGTATGACGTCAGCAGACTATTTCACCCCCCGGGCCTCATCTCCTCCGCCTGGAAATAGGGAGAAGCATTGCTACCTCTGTGTCAACTACACTCAAAAAAATTAAAACTAGGAAAAGTATTCCTGCCTCCCAGAGGGTGCCTGGCCTGAGACCAAGCGTCTGAAAGCTCTGCGTAAAGCATGGGGAGCCCCCCCCCCGTCTGTGCCTGCCTTCACTGGAGGCACGCTCCCAGCCACTCTCCCCGGACCCACTTGGTTTTCCACAGCAGAGACCCACAGGGCTGCGGAGCAACAGCTTTGCTGGTTTCGTGGAGAGGCCACTCCTGACTCCCCAACCGCCCCCCCCACCTGGCAACCCCGCCAAGCCAGGGCAGGGCGATCAGGGTAGTCAGACTTCGGGGGGAGTCCTGGCCCACGGAGCCCAGGGGGGCTGAAAATCTCCAGTTGGCCTTCATGGGAACCTGGGAGGAGGTCTGTGTCCACGTGGCAGGGCCTTGAGGGATCTGTGTGGACACAGCCTTTGTGGGGAGCATGGCAGGGAGGTGGTGACTTCAGAAGAAGCATTGGCCAAGGGGGTCTGGTCGGAGCGTCGTGTGTGTGTGTGTGTGTGTGTGTGTGTGTATGTGTGTGTGTGTGTGTGTGTGTGTGTCCACAGTGGCCGACGCTTGGGGTTGGGTTGTGCGCCCCTTGCGTGTTGGCTTCCTGTGAGCACACGTGGCCCTCGGAACTCGAGGGGTCCAAGCACGACCCGGAAGGGGACACTGAAGGGCCTCTGGGTAGCCTGCGGCCACGGAGGCGCGGGCCCAGTCTCCGCTCGTGGCCACGCCCCTCCCGGCCCCGCCTCTGCGCACGCCCCCTCGCCTGAGGCCCCGCCCCCTTTCCCGATCCGCCCCCAGGCCCGCCCCTGCTCCGCCCCCAGCTCGAGCCCCGCCCCCTCCGGCGCGGCCCCGCCCCCGGCCCCGCCCCCGCCCTCCGCTAGCGCCGGGTCCGCGCTGCCGGCCGCGGTCCTGGCGCTCCACGCTGCGGCCGCTCGGAGCAATGATTAACCCGGCGGGCCGGCCGGCGCGGGGCCCGGGGCGGAGGCGCGGGACCGGGGCGGGACCCCGGAGGGCCGCTCAGCTTCCTGCTCGCGCCCAAGTTTCCTCGTAGAGGGCGCAGTGCCGGCCGGGGCCCGCGGCGCGGCGTGGCGCAGGGCGCGGCGCGGGGCGCGCGTGGGCGCGGCGCGGGCCGCCGGGGTCACCATGAGGACTCTCCGCAGGTTGAAGTTCATGAGTTCGCCCAGCCTCAGTGACCTGGGCAAGAGAGAGCCGGCCGCCGCCGCCGCGGACGAGCGGGGCACGCAGCAGCGCCGGGCCTGCGCCAACGCCACCTGGAACAGGTAAGGCCGCGCCCTCCCGGCCCGCCCGCGGGGCCCGGGGCACCCGAGCCCGGGGACAAGGGAGCCCTCGATCCGGCCCGCGGGCGGGGACCCGCGCCTTCAGCACCGCCGCGCTTAACAGTTCGCAGAGAACTTGCTCCGCCGGAGTTGTGCGGGCCGGGAGGGAAGTTTAGTGCAACGTGTTTCTAGAACGGACGGCCCAGACCGCGATCTCGGGGCTCGTCCCGAAGCGCCCAGCTGGTGGGCGAGAGGGGGGCGGGCCTGGCGCCCCCGCGCCTGCCTTCCCCGCGGGGTCTTCCCACGTCTCCGCTCCGTGGCTCTTGGCAGTCTGGGAGGTAATAGAGCAGGAAGTATTTTTCCCATTTCTCAGATGAGCAAATGAGCCTCCAGGGCGCCGTGGGTGGGTGGCCGCTGCGCTTCCTGTCTTCGGAGTAAAGGTCCCTTTGGTCGGAGGGGGTGGGCGGGCAGTTTCCCCTGCGCGGCCCCTGGCCCTCCCAGCTGTCAGCAGGGGCGCAGCAGCTGCCCCGCATTCCTCAGACGACCCTCCCCCTCCCCCGGGGCCGTTCCCAGCCGAGCAGGGGCGTGGGAAGAACCCCCACCCCCAAGCTTTGTTTGAAGAGCAGGGCTGGGATCCGGAAGAGAGACGGCTTGTTTAGTGGGATTCCCCCAGCGCGTCTGCTCCTGAACCCCTTTCAAAGTAGACGTTTCCACCCAAAGGAAAAGGGAGGGGAGGGGAGAGTGAAGGAGGGGGCTGTGGGTGCGCCCGGCCGCATACACCTGGCAGTGAAGTGTTGCCAGACGCGTCCTGGGGCTGTGGTCTTGGCCCCCAGGACCGGGCCGTCGATGTGGACACAGGTTTATTCTGTTGATCCAGAACTCCGTGAACACCTTAGTGGGCACAGGGCCGCCCCCAGACAAGCCTAAGACCCTTGTCCGTGCACTGGGCAGGACACCGTCATCCCCGAGCTGGTCTTCTGTCCCCTACCAAGTTGCAGACTGCTTGCAGCTGCGTCTGCCTCAGTTTCCCTCTCCGTCAGTATGCGTGTGCCGGTACCTTCATCCTCACAGGGCTGATGTGGAGACCACGAAGGAAGGACTCTCCTTGGGGGCCTCACCGACGCAGTGACTTCACAAAGTCATAAGAGTAGTTTTCTCCTCTCAGAGTTAGGGAGAGAAAAGCAGGTTTCCGCCTCATTCCTCTGCTTTGGTTTAGAGGAAGGAGCCACACAGACTTACTTCAGTTCCCAGCTCTGCCGCGACCCCGCTGTGTGGCCTTGAGCAAGTCACTTAACCTCTCTGGTCCTTGATTTACATATCCATAAAATGGGCTAATAATGCTGTCCACCTCACAGTGCTGTTGTAGGGATTAAATGCAAAGGCATAGATTAAACCCCTCTGCACAGTGCCCAGCACATAGTAGGCACTCCGTACGTAACCCATGACTCAAGCCCAGACACATGCTGGGGTGGGTTTGTAAGGAGGGGTGGGGGGGCCCCTCAGGAGTCTGCTGGGTCCTGCGCATTCACCGACAGCAGCTTTGGGAGCCCCTCTCCCCAGCTGGGGTCTCCTGCTGCCATCTTCTACTCCTCCTGTGCGCCAGGCCCCTGTGTGTCCCTGGGTTCGCTTTGCCCAGCGAGGGAGTAATTTCTATCACCTCCCCCTTTAGAGGCGCAGAGGGGGACAGACCTGCCCATGTCACCATCACCCATGAGCCCCTGCTCTCTCCTCCCCAGGCAGAGGGGTACTGAGCCAAGGACAGCGAGGCACCTTCCTCTGCTGGGTCCCTGAGCCGGAGCAGGAGCAGGCGGTCAGGGGATCCTCTCTGGTCTACGCCCGCCCCCCCGCCCCTTCTAAGCTGCTCCCTGCAGACCCCTCAGGACAAGAGCCTCGTACAAGACAGCTTGTCTGCCTTCGGGGCCGCCTCGCCAAGCTGTGGCCCCTTCGTTAGGGGCCCAGGTGCGCCCCCTTTTATCCGTGCGCCCGCACCCATCTCACAGGGCTGCCGAGATGCACTGCCGGAAGCTTGGTAGATAAACAGAGACGGACTCTCTCGGGGTCCAGAGGCCTGAGGTTCAGCAGGACTGAGTCCCTCCAGAGGCCCTAGGCGAGTCCCTGCCTCTTCCAGCTCCTGGGGGGTCCGTGGCCTGTGGCCGTCTGCCGCTCTCCACGTGGCCTTCCCTGGTCTCTGTGGCCCAGTCTCCCCGTTTCTCTTATAAGCACACCTGTCATTGGTTGTAGGGCCGCCCGTGATTCAGGATGACCCTTAACTAACTGCGTCCGAAAAGACCCTGTTTCCAGGAGACAGGAGTTTCTAGGGGATGCCGCTCACCCCACTGCAGGGCCCCGGGCACGTCCCCCGAAATTCCTGGGCCCCCTCCCACATCTTGACAGGGGGCAGAAATACAGAGCTCACTCTCGTGAGAACGGAATCCACGCATATACTCTGGCCCCGGGAGGAGGTCCTGAGCTTGGGCTTGGGGGAGGGCGTCAGGAAATCAACAGGGACACAAGTGAAGGGAGAGGCCACCGCGGGGCGTGTTCAGTGCCGGGGAGAAGATAAACAAGGAGGCAGGTACGTGCAGCCGGCCGGCCGTATTCCCTTCTTTCGCCTAGAACGGCGATGCGATAGGTGCGTGCGCAGGAAATGTCTGAGGGCGGGGTGGGCGCCGGCCGCCCTCCTGAACGTACACTGTACACCGGAACTGTCAAAGGTGCTTTCTAAGCTCCTGCTTCTTGACAGGGCGCGTTTGTCCCTTGAGCCAAGCCGAGTGCAGGGCTGCAGGCGGGTGTGCCCAGATAGCACGCTGGGGGTGGGGCCTTGGGAGGCTCACCTGCCGCCTCCACCTGGAACTCCCCCTCCCCTGCTTCTTCGAGGGCCGGGACACAGCAGGTCATGTCCCGCTCTGTCCACGCATCCTCTCCTCACTGGGTCTGGACCCCATGCAGGTGTGGGGCCTCTAGCTCCGTGAAGGTCAAGCTCTTGAGCTGAGGGGCCAGCAAGCCAAGGGAGCTCCCCAAACCTCGGCCCTAAAGGTCTACCCGACACATGTGCCCTCTGCACGCGTTTGGACCAGAGGGTGTTGACCGTTAGGGAGTTAACTATTCCTTGCCAGACTGGGATCTGCTCGAATGCTTAAGGTTTGGAGAGCCCAGCGCCCACCCCACCTGCTTGGTATGGGATGGGAGGCCCCAAGTGGGGGAGGGGGTGTCCCTGTGGTGCCAGGCACACTGCCCTGCGTGTGACACTCACTCCCCGTCGTCTCTCTCCAAGTCTGGGATAATTGTCTTCAGCTTACAGACAGGGAAACTGAGGCAGGGGGGATTGGCTCAAGATCCCATGGTAATGTCAGGGTTTGGGGGGCTCTGACCCCAGCAGTGGCTTGAGGCCACTGCCCAGGGACCAAGAAAGGTGAGTATTGGTGGTAAGAACCTGGAGGCCACCGCAGGTCGTGTTCGGTGCCTGGGAGAAGATAAACAAGGAGGCAGGTACGTGCTGACCTCCACAGAGTGTTCTCTACCTTGACCTTCTCCCAGCAATGCCAGGCGCCTGTGAGCACTGCGCCCCTCAGATGCGTTCATGCACACCGTGACCTGTGCGGGGCCCTGACGGCCCCTAGGCATGGAGGTGCTCCTGTCCCCAGCGGCCCTCAAGTAGGGCTCATCAGCCCCACTTTGCAGGTGAGGACACTGAGGCTCAGTGCCAGGTAGGGACTACCCAGGTCCACACCGTGTGCCAGGGCAGAAGCAGGGACCCAGGGGCGCCTGGGTGGCTCAGTTGGTTAAGTATCTGACTTTGGCTCAGGTCATGATCTCGCAGTTTGTGAGTTCAAGCCCCACATCAGGCTCAGCACTGATGGCTGAGAGCCTGGAGCCTGCTTCGGATTCTGTCTCCCCCCTCTCTGTCTGCCCCTACCCCATTCACACTGTCTCTATCTCTCAAATATAAATAAATATTAAAAAATTGTTAAAAAAAAAAAAAAAAAGGAAGCAGGGATCCAACCGGGGTCTGGCTCCGAAGCCTGCCTTTCTACCACTACCCCGGGGTGGGGGGGGTCTCTAAGGGGCCACAGGAGGCTGGCTCCAGGCTCCAGGGCGATGCATTGATGGGAGTGGGGGCGGGGCTGCTGGGGGCCTGTGCCTGGCTCCCCTGCCCCACCCTGCCTATCTGCTCTGAGTCCTGAGCCTCCCGCCCCCCCCAAGGCAGTCTGGGTATAGTCCGCAGAGCAATGTGCCCCAAAGGCGTCCACACCCTGGCCCCCCAGAACCTGTGACTACGTTAGCTTACCCCAGGACATTTGCAGGTGCTGTGAAGTCAAGGATCTCGAGACGAGGGTCCAGTGTCATCTCAAGGGGCTTCACACAGGGAGGCACGGGGAGGAGGGGAGTCGGGAGGAGGCGGCAGATGGAAGCAGACTAAAGGTGCCATGCTGCCGGCAGTGAGGACGGCGATGGGAGCCCAAGCCAAGGAGCTAGAGGCTGGGAAGGGCCAGGAGACGGTCTCCCCGGGGGGCCTCCAGAAGGAGCCGGTCACCCCAGCACCTTGATTTTGGCCCCGAGAAACTGATTTAGAACTTCCGGCCTTCAGAAATGTAAGAAAACATGTCGGGGCTGCTGTGAGCTGCTGTGTGCGGCGTTTGTGACGCTAACACACCCCGCCGAGTGCTCCGGCCGCCTCTTCTCCCGCCCGCCAGCCCAGGCTTGGCCGGCCGCAGTCCTCGCCGGCACCCATCCCGCACCCTCACCCCCCTCGCCGCGGGGACGGGCGATGTGAAGCCCACGCGGCAGACATTCAAGGACGTGGGCACTCCGCGTCCCCCCCGCGGGCAGGGCAGGCAGCTCAGGGCCCTCGCCGGGTGCCCGGGGAGGAGCGGAGGCGGCCTCGGGCCCCTCCTGCCCAGCCGGGAGCCCTGTTAGGGTGGGGGGTGGGGGCAGCGTGTGAATCAGCTGGTGGACCGAAACCGGGGCGTGAGTGACCCCTGCTTGCCGAGGAGCAGAGGAACCTGCACGTGGCTGGAAGGGGCGTCGTCTCCCTCATTTTCCAGAGGGTCCGGTCGGGGCCTGGCCGGGGGGCTGGGCTGGATTCCAAGCCACCTACCTCCTTTGCTTTCACCTGGACGCGAGGAGGGGGCGGTGGGCACGGCGCCTGGAGCGGCCAGAGCAGCCAGGGGGCCCCTTCGTCCCTCAGGCTGGGCATGACTCGTACTGACAAGGACACCTGGGCTCCACCTGGTCACCCTGGGCGGGCGGGGCAGAGGGAGAACCAGAGCCCGGCTCCCGGGGGCGGGGCAGGAGGAGCCCGGGGGGACCCAGTGAGCCCGGCCCACCTGCCCCTCCTCCCTGCTCGACCGACCCTTCCCACGGAGCCCGTGGGACACGCCAGGGCTGGACACCAGTGGGAGGGGCCCAAGGAGGTAGCCACCTGCTCAGGGCCTGGGATGGCCTTCTGCGGGCACCTGGCAGAGACCTAACTCCTCTCTGTGTCCTCCGGGGCCTCCGATGTCCAAATCGGGCTTGGCACCGGAGACGGACAGGGCTCTGCCTGCAGGGGACCCAGGGGGTGCATCGGCCTGGCCCACCAGAAGCCTGGCTTTCTGTGGATCCAGATCCACTCACTCTCCACTGGGACTTCCTGTATGGGCAGGTGGGCCGCAGTAAGAAAGGTGATGGCTGGCCAGAGATCCAGCCAGGGCCCCTCGGCCTGCAGCCCCAGCCTGAGCGGCCACGGCCAAGGGACCCCAGGAGCCCTGCAGTCAGCCCGCCTCTCCCGACTCGGCTGTGCCCGCCCCCTTCCTGGGCCACGCCGTCCACGCCAGGTCTCACGCTGCCCAGGACGCTGGTTCCCCTGCGCCCCGTACGCACCCAGTGCCCAGGCAGGAGATGCCGGGCTTGGCCCTGCCCTCCTGCGCTGGGGAGGGGACACGCTCTGGGAGGGACCGCCCAGGGTGTGGGGGGGGGCACGGGTCAGCTTCCACTCAGGCCTCACCAGGAAGTGCCCTCAAAGGCCCCCTGTGGTTTCCATGGGGCCGTCTGCCAGCTGAGGCTGGTCCGGAGGCCCCAGGCCGGGGTGCCTGGGGTTTCACTTCTATTTTGGGGGGACGGTAAGTCACGTGATCCCTCTTGCCTCTACCTTCCCCCTCCCCGAGTGGCTCCTGGCAACTTTTTGCCCAGCTTGGACTTTGCAGAGAAATGGGATCTCGGGCCACAGCTGGGAGGAGCGGAAGGAGCAGGGCTCCGCCTGTGCGTGCCCCCCCCACTCCCCCCCGCGTGTGTGCAGGGGGAGGGCAGGGGGGGCCTATGCACCCCCACCCCCCACCCCCATGTAGGCCGGGGCAGGGCAGGGGCGGTTTCCCAGCCACCAGGGTGCCGCGCGGCCGGTGAGCCTGAGCAGCGCCGTGGCTCCTGGGAGCCTCAGTGTTTCCTTCCGTAGCCTGGGCGTGACAGCTCCCCCCACGCAGTGGTTAGAAGCAGAGACGGAGGGAACCACAGAGCAGCGGTGGGGTGCTGCCGGGGGCTCCTGGGGACACGCCTCTCCTCAGAGTCACGGCCGAAGAAACCCGCAGGCACGTCGCTGCCAGGCGGTGCGTCCCGTGGGCCTGGAGTCAGGAGTCCCCTGTGTGGATGCGGAAGCCGGGCCACAGGTGGCCTGGGTCCGCAGGATGGGGGAGGGGTTGGAGAGCTCATGGGTGACCCCTGGGCTGGTGGGGCGGGGGGACTGCTCAGAGACAGGCGTTGGAAGAATCAGAGGGAGGTGATGAACTCCCTCACTGAGAGGTCCTCACCGCTGGCTCCACGAGCAGCCCCAGCGGGAGGCTGGAGGTCCCTGGGGCTGGGGGGTGGGGACCGGGGCTAAACAGTAGAGCAGAAGACCTCCCCTCTCGTCAGAGGAGGCTGAGGTCAGGTTTTACCCCAATACAGTGTGAGGAAGGAAGGACCTGCCTTGGGGGGCCGGGGCGGGGACGGAACCGCAAGGACAAAGGCCCTGAGGCAGGAGGGGGTATCCGTGTTGCACAGGTGTAGGGTCTCCTCTGGGCTGGGGTCCCTCCCGAAGGTTGATGGGAAGAGGAGGAAGGTCAAGGACAGGCTGCCAGGAACAGGTCTCTGATGAGCAGGAGGTGGCTCCGCCCAGGGCTCGGCCTGCACTGGCTTCCTCCCACCTGGGGGGGGGATGGGGGGCGGGGGGTGGGGCCCTCAGTTCCAGGTCCCCCGTGCCTGAGGGCGGCCTGCCCCCCCTGCCCCCCGCAGCCCCCCCAGGGCTGGGAGTGAACTTGCAGCTGCTGGGACTGGGGTGTGGCGGCTCCTGGAGGCCTTTGGCTTCCTGGCCGAGTTTCTCTCTCTGGTTGTAGATGGGGAGCAGCCTTAACGGGGACACAGTGGCGGGGCGGGGCCGCCAGGAACTTCTAACCGAGGGGAGCATGGTCCCCGCCATGGGGAGGCTCTGGCCCGGCGTTTCTTCCTGACGGCAGCCCAGGTGGGGGGCAGGCACGCTGGTACGAGGCTGGAGGACACGTGTCTTGGACACACAAATGAGAGGCGCTCCGACGCCAGGCCAGGAGCAGCTGGCCTCCCGGGTCACGGGACTGGTGTCCAGCCCGGTCTGGGCCAGCCCCTGCTAGAAGCTGGTAACGCCAGGCTGGGCCCAGCGGTGGGCACGGCCCCGCATGGCTCGGAGCCGCCTTCACGCCCCTGGGACGCAGGGCCCTGAGTCGTCCTGCGGAGGCTGCATGGAGCGAGGGCGGCTGCTGGGTGGGAGCTCTGTGCCCTCCCGCAGGGGACCTGCCCTCTCTGAGCCTCTGTCTTCCCATCTGCAAAGTGGGGGGCAGGTCTACGTTCTCCGAAAGGGTGGCCCTAGTGAAGACAGACAAGGCACCAGGAGCTTGGTGGCCGCTGCCTGGCCTGTGATGGGAGGGGCAGCGTGGCCCCTGCTGCCCTCTCTGCCCTGCGAAGCACAGCAGCAGGTCTGTGAGCTTTAGAGCGGTGACTGGGTCCCAGGTGGAGGCTGGTGGGGCCACCCCGACCTCGTTCTCATGGAGGGGGTGGGGGGACAGTGCTAACAGGCAAGTGACTCAGGAAGGTTGCCGAAGGGGAGTCTCCACGGGGAGGGCAGGAAGTCAGGAGGGCTTCTTGGAGGCAGTGGCTTCTGAGCTTAGTCTTTAACATAGTTGCTTGCCTGGGAAGAGAAAGGTCTTCCAGGAAAAAGGGCAGAGGGTGCAGAGCCCCGGAGGTGTGGCAGCCGCAGGCAGGTCCAGAGCTCAGAGACTTGAGTGTAGGATGCCCCGGAATGCAGGGAGGGGCCATTCCTGACGAGCCTCGAATGCCACATCCAGGCCTTGGGCTGTATCTGCAGGGCAGTGGAGGCCTCACCAGACGTGCTCAGGGAGGTGACTGGAGGCAGTAGGGAGGCAGCCTGGTAATAGATCCCTGAGCGCAGGGAGGGGAGGGGAGGGGTGCTGTGGAGATATCTCTCCAGGAGATAGAAAGGGATCAGAATCAGGATAGGTTGGCTTTGGAGGACAAGGGAGACTTGAGATGCATTTTCACGAGATGCTTACAAGCTTCTCCTTCAAGCCGGAGCTGGTTTATACAGGCAAGTCATGAACACCACACGACCCTGTGCTCTGCGGGTTTATAGAAAACGGTGGAAACAAGTTAATCAAATCACATATGAACGTGTGGTTACACACTGACAAGTGCGGTGAAAACTGGCAACAGTGTGTGACCTAAAGGAGGTAAATAGGAAGTGGGGGAGAAGCAGCCAGCAGAAAGGGCATGTACAAAGGCCCTGTGGCCGGAGGCAGCTTCCCCATCCCCCGCCAGGCAGATAACCTGAGCGTCCAGTGCCCGGGGCTGCCAGGAGTCAGGAGGGGCTGGCCCGGGGCACCTGGAAGCCCTGGTGAGTGAGTGTCAGGCTTGGACACGTTAGAGGGCGGGTCAGGTGATCAGAGGGCGTGCCCCGGGCATAGAGGGTTCGAGAACACAGGAAGAGGAGCAGAGGGCGTGCAGGCTACGAGAGACCTCCCGCAGCGGTGACTGGGAGGGGCCTGGAGACTCAGGCCCGGGGCCCCGGGGAGGCTGGGGCTGGGGCTCGACCCCAACAGCGAGGTGGGAACTGAGGCTGGCGTGGACAGGACCCCCGGAGAACAGCCGTGTAACAGACAGGCACCTGCGGCCGACCCGGCCCGTTTCTGTTCCTGGAGCAGAGCAGGGCGGGCTGCTGGGGAGAGGCAGCGTGGAAGGGAGGCCTGGGGAGGTGGGGAGGGGTCTCGGGGCCTCGATGACACGCCTCTTTCTCCCCCTGCAGCATCCACAACGGGGTGATCGCCGTCTTCCAGCGCAAGGGGCTGCCCGACCAGGAGCTTTTCAGCCTCAACGAAGGCGTCCGGTGAGTGGCCGTGTGTCCTGTCGTGTCCTGGGCCTGTGAGCGGCGGGGAGGCCGCAGCCACGCCCTGGTCCCCCAGCCACACCCTCAGAGCCACGCTGGGCAGCGAGCCCCGGGCCTCCGCGTGCACCTTGACTGCGGGCCCTGGTCGCGTGGCCTTCGGGCCTGCGGGACCCTCACGCCCACCCGTCCCGAGGACTGGCGTCTCCGGGGGAGCGGGCTGGGACTTGGACGTGGCCCCAGAGAACGCCCGCAGCCCCCGCTGGCGTGGCCCACCATGAAGGATATTATTCTGTTAAAAAGGAAGGACCCACCTGCGTAATGACGGGAGTGTCGTTCCGGGAAAGGCAGTCACAACCCGGCCGAACGCCCCTCGTTTCCTGCGAGTGGCCGAGCAGTGAGCCCCAGTGAGGGAGCCGGGGACACGCCGGCCCCTCAGAGCGGGACGCCGTCGTCACTTCCGGGGCATCTGCAAGGCCAGCCGCATTAGTCCTGCTTTGTGATGGAGGAGGCTGGCGCTCAGAGAGGTCAAGAGACTTGCCCAGGGTCACACAGCGGCCCAGGGAGGCATTTCCCTTCCCGCCCTGGCCCTTGTCGCCCTGTCCCCATGTCAGCGTCTGGGAAAAAGAGGCGGCCCAGCTCTTCATGGGCTTAAGCCGGGCGGCAGGACTGAGATGTCCCTTACAGACAGAGAAACTGAGGCCCAGGGAGGGAAAGGAGCAGCTGAAGTCCCAGAGCAGGGGCTGTTGCTTTTCCCAGGCCCCTGCGTGTGCCCTTCCCGGGGCTCATCTGGCTGCGCTGGGGCCCCCGAGCCCCGTGTTCCTAGCCACGCCTCCACCGGAATTTGTAGGAGACCCGAGGAATATGCTGGGTGTCAACAACTAAGCAAGGGGAAGGATTCCTGAATCCGTGAACAGCGCGCCCCCCGCAGTCTGTACGTCCTCGCCCTCCGGTGGCCTAGACAGCCGTCACGATTGTCCGGCTCTCAGCAGCCTCCCCTGCAGCCCTCGGGGGCCCTCCCAGAGCAGGCGGCCACTCGAGGGAGCGTGTGCTGGGGAGGTTGGTGGGGGGGGGACAGGCAAGCCCCCCGGGGCCCCAGGCCGCCCTCGCTAGCCCCAGAACCCTTACCGCGGCGGCGCGGGGGAGTGCGCACTTTCGTGTCTCCGTTTTCCAGATGAGGAAACTGAGGCACAGGGATCGCAGGTTGCTTGTGCTCACGGGGCTGGTCAGTGGAGCTGAGACTCCAGTCCCTGACCCCAGGGCCTGTGGGTCCCTCAGGCCCGCCCCTTGCCCAGTCCCCACCCCATGTGTCCATCACATGGCCACGTTCAGTCAAGTGAATTTAATTATGCGTGATATCCACCGCCGGGCGTGAGCTGTGAGAGAGCCCGTTGATGCGCTGTCTCCAGAACATTCGCCTGCGTTCTCGCGGCCGGGAGTGAGATTGGGGTGGGGGCGGGCAAGTACCCCCTGGCAAGTACCGGTCAAGTTCCCATCTCTGCACACTTGCCTTCTCTGGACGTTTCACAGAAACGGAATCGCGCAACACGTGTGCGGCCTCTCAGGTCCGGCTCCTCCCGCGTAGCCTGTTGCCTTCAGGACTCGTCCCCGTCCCAGCCTGCGTCACAACCTCATTCCTTTTGCGACCGGATAGTCATCTGCGCTCGGGGACCACATCTTGCTTGTCCCTTGACCCGCGGGTAGACCTGTGGGTTGTAACAAACAGCACTGCTCTGATGTGCTGTGCAGGGTTTTGTGTGGATGTGCGTCTCCCGGGGGCGCACCTGGGGTGGGGGGGCGCACCTGGGGGTGGGGGGCGCACCTGGGGTGGGGGGGCGCACCTGGGGGTGGGAGGGCGCACCTGGGGGTGGGGGGGTGCACCTGGGGTGAGGGATGCACCTGTGGATGGAGGGTGCACCTGGGGGGGGCGCACCTGCGGTGGGGGGGCGCACCTGGGGTGGGGGGCGCACCTGGGGGTGGGGGGGCGCACCTGGGGTGAAGGATGCACCTGTGGGTAGGGGATGTACCTGTGGGGGGAGGGCACACCTGGGGTGGGGGAAGCACCTGGGGTGGGGGGGCGCACCTGGGGTGGGGGCCGCACCTGGGGTGGGGGTTCACCTGGGGGGGAGCATCTGCTGAGGGTGTGGTTCAGAGTTCAGGTCGCTCTGGTTCAAGGAACTGCCCGGCCTCCCTCCGCGGCAGCCGCACCTGCTTTCTTCCCACAAGCTGCATCTGAGGGCTCCGCTCCACCACCTTCTCACGGGGGGTTTATTCTAACAGCACGGGTCGGGGTGACGTGCCATCTTGTGGTTTGGGTTTATGTTTCCCTGATGACTCAGGGCAGGAACCTCTTTTCATGTGCTCAGTGGCCCTTTGTGTATTGTCTTGCGGGGAGATGTCTACTCGCATCCCCGGCCCATTTCTAAATTAGGTTATTTATTTTATCTTTCTGTTGTTGAATCACAGCAGTTCCTTACATATTCTGGATCTAGCCCCTTAGCAGGTACTGATTTGCACATCTGTTCTCCCGTCCGCGAGTTGCAAGCTCATGTTCTCCGTAGTGACCTTGGAAGCACAGGGGTTTCATTTCAGTGAAGCCCGGGCTGCCAGCCCAGCCCTTTCTCTCTAACCATTTCTCTGACCACCTTTGTCCTGAGGCCCCAGAACAGACACGTTTTGCGTAATACTTTTTCCAGATAGAGAATAAGTCACCCTGGGCTGCAGAAGACTCCTGTGTAAGCACCGGCCCTATATTTAGCCCATTTTGGATGGCATTGCCCCTACAAGGCACAGCACGCATCCCCCCTCTTTTCTCTTTTTTTTAAGTATTTATCTTTTTTTTTTTTAATGATTTATTTACCTCTGAGAGAGAGAGAGACAGCGTGAGTAGGGGAGGGGCAGAGAGAGAGGGAGACACAGAATCTGAAACAGGCTCCAGACTCTGAGCTGTCAGCACAGAGCCCGACGCGGGGCTCGAACCCACAAACTGTGAGATCATGACCTGAGCTGAAGTCGGACGCTTAACCGACTGAGCCACCCAGGCACCCTTGAGTGTTTTATCTGTTTTGAGAGAGAGAGAGGAAGCGAGCACAGGGGAAGTGCAGAGAGAGGGAGCGAGAGAGAATCCCAAGCAGGCTCCACACTGTCAGTACAGAGTGTGGCTTGGGGCTCGAACCCACAAACCTCGAGATCATGCCCTGAGCTGAAATCAAGAGTCGGACGCTTAACCGACTGAGCCAGCCCGGCGCCCCACACCCCCCTTACACAGAACCAGGCCCCGGGTTGCCCTGGTTGTGCTCAGCTGTGCAAGGCCTCTTGCCCGGGCCCAGCGGCCCAGGCCATTCCGCAGTCGGCGTCCCTCGTACCTGCCAGGTCGTCTGTCTGGGGCGGCCCCTCCCCCAGCACTCGATGGGACAGTCACCAGTGTGCCTGGGGCCCGGAGAACCAGGAGCTTGAGGGCGGGAACTCGGCCACCTGCTGTGTCCCCAGAGCCCCCCCCCACCCCCCGGCTCCTGGCTGACGTGCAGCTCATGTGCCCAACCCCAGCCCCTGCACGAGGCCCCACTGGCCCTGTGGCTCCCAAGGCAGCAGGCACGTCTGGACAGGATGGCCATGGCCTCAGCCCCTGGCCCTCCAATGACACCCAGGCCGGTCCCCCTGCAGTGCCTTCCCCAAGTGGTGTCCCGGGGCGCACAGGCTGCCTGGGGGTCCCCTAAGGGCATAGGGGTAGCCTAAGCAGTGGGCCCCCCCGGGGACCTCACCACATGCCCTACCCGAGACTCAGTCTCCACATCTGTGGCATGGACATGGCTCCCTTCGTCAGCAACTGGGAGCGCCAGTGGGCACAGCACGGAGTGGGGGCACTCGGCCGGACACGCCCTCGCCCCTGCCCAGGGGCTCACGTAGCAGGTCATTGGTGGGGCAGAGCGTCTGCTCGGCCCTGCAGGAGACATTCATCCGTTCATTCACGTTCATACACACTTTCACCAGCCAAGGACCAGGGAGAGGGTGAGGAGGGCTTTACTGAGCACCTGCTGTATACACCATGGATAAGCTGTGACCTCACTTGACAGCCTGCTCTGCCTTCTGGCGAGTCTCGGGCCCCCAATGAGGGTGCTGAGCGCAGACGGGGGTGGGGATGTGTCCAGCAGCACAGGGGCTGCCGAGAAGACTTGGCCAGGCTCAGCCTTGCGCCTACGAGAACACCCTCCCTCCTCGCCCTTTGCTTCCCGGCCTTGCCACGTGGTGACCTTGAGACAGACACTGAGCCCGGACATGGGGGTCACACCAGGAGCTGAGGTCACACCTGGTCCTTGGGAACGCAGACAGTTGGGAGAAGGTGGGGGGACTGGCTGAGGGCAGAGGGTCGCTGGGCCCACACAGGTCAGCGTTCCCCCGTCACTGTCCCAGCGGAGCTCAGCCTGCTGGACGCTTCCGCTGTCGACTTCACAGCTACACGGGGACGGCGCCGGGCTGTGACGCAGCATGGGCCCCGCGCTGTGGGACGGCCAGGGTGTGGGGTGGGCCCCGGGGCTGCCACTGCCCTGAAAGGCGTGTTCCTCCTCCCTCCCGTCCAGGGACGCCCGCACCACCTGTCAGGCTGCTGGGAGCTCAGGGCTGTGCCTGGCCTGGCCGTGGCCCGAGGGCTGCTCAGGACACGTGTCCCTCTCCGTGCCCCCTCGCCCCATCTCCGCCCCAGGCTCCAGGGATGACAGCCGGTCAGCCGCTGGGGGGCTCGCTGCCTCCCACAAGCCACCTGCCCTCTGTGCATCCCTTGGCCCCCAGGCCCCCATCCCCACTGGGGGGCAGCCAGTCCTGAGCTGGGGTCCTGCTTTTAGCTCCACCGGGAAGGTAGAGTGTAGCCACCCCTACAGGCCTTTGAGAAGCAGAGCACCCACTTAGTGGGAGGGGGGCAAGTTCAGTGGCCCCCAGGCGTGCGCGCACATGTGGGCACGCAGCTCCGAGGCTGAGAGAGAGGAGAGCTGAGGTTGAGTGCCGGGCCTGGTGTTGACATGCCCAAGCGTTTCAGGCTGCGCTTGGTGTGGAGCGGGGCGCCCGCCATCCTCAGCCCCAGAGCCACGCAGTGCAGAGAATTGTCAACAAATGTACAAAAGACGAGGTTCGGATCCTAAGTTGGTGTGTGCTGTGTGGCCTCAGACAAGTCACTTGACCTCTCTGAGCCTCCTTTCCCTCACTTATTAAAGGGAATGATGATCAGCACCTGCAGCCAGAGGACAAAGTCCAGAGGGTGCAGGGCTGGGAGCTCCCGGGGCGGGGGGGGCTCCCCGAGAATGTGAGAGGTGCTTGTGGCCCCCATGCCCCCTCTGGGGAGGTGTGTGAAGCAGCGATGGGTGTCACAGCTGAATGCCACAGAGGCCCGAGTCCCCGCAGTGCTGGGACAGGGGACAGGTGGGCGGGGCCGCCTTCTGCTGCCCCGCTGACCCCCGTGTCCCCACCACGTGACCTCTGCCCCCTGCTGCCCTCACTGTCATGTCCCCTCCCACCCACAGGCAGCTGCTGAAGACGGAGCTGGGGTCCTTCTTCACGGAGTACCTGCAGGTGGGTGGCCCGTGCCCGCCAGCGGGCCGGGATGGCTTTCCGAGCTGTGGCCAGGGGGGCCGGGGTCACCACTCTCGGTGGGACTCTGCCTCCTTGTGACTCAGTTTCCCCATCTGTCCAGGCTGGGTCGTTGTGAAGGTGAAGGTTAACAGCAACGGGCATTTCAAGTGTGTGGCGCAGGGGTGCTCCGTGTCCTCACACCGCTGGTGTCAGAGCCCCCCCAGCAGGAGCCCCGCACTTAAAAATAGTTTTTTAATGTGTATTTCCCTGTTTTGAGAGAGAGAGAGAGAGAGAGAGAGAGAATCCCAAGCAGGCTCCGCACCGTCAGCTCAGAGCCCGACTCGGGGCTCAAACTCGTGAACCGCGCGATCATGACCTGAGCCCCCCAGCGCCCCAGGAGACCCACGTTTCTTTTTTTTTTTTTAATGTTTTATTTATTTCTAGGAGAGAGAGAGAGAGAGACAGCGTGAGCAGGGGAGGGTCAGAGAGAGAGGGAGTCACAGACTGAAACAGGCTCCAGGCTCCGAGCTGGCAGTCAGCACAGAGCCCGACGCGGGGCTCGAACCCACGAACCGCGAGATCATGGCCTAAGCGAAAGTCGGACGCTTAACCAACTAAGCCCCCCAGGCGCCCCGAGCCCCACGTTTCTAAGCGCTCTCCACCCCCTACCCCTCCCAGACCCCGGCAGCCGCCATTTGCTCTGAGCCGGAATGGTCCTGTTCTGGAGAGTTCTTGTCAGGGGCCTTTCGAGTCTGCTGCTCCCGCGAGCACGGCGTTAGCGAGAGCATCCGTGCTGCGCCCATCGGCACCTCCCTCCTTTTCACGGCCGAATAATTTTCCGCTGCGCGGAGACACCCCGTTTTGTCCGTCCATCAGTGGACAGTCGGCCGTGTCCTCCTTTTGGCGTTGGTGGTGCTGAGGCCACACGGTGTCATGCTCGGCCAAGACGCCCGCGGCAGCGTGACCGCATGGACCCACGTGATGGCGGTCCCCACGCGGGGGCGTCAGGCATGGGCCCCTCTTGCTGAAAGGCGTTCCCTCGTCCTGGGATGTGAAGGCCGCCCCGCCCGCTGGCCTCCGGGGGCGGGGGGGGTCCCTGCAGCCACCTCCTGTCTGACCAGCCCTGGTTCAGTCACTTGTCACTGTCCTCCGGAGCGGGGGGGGGAGGGCGAGCTGACCTTCACCCTGGGCCCCTGCCGTGGCTGGGGGACTCCTGGGGGCCCCGCCTGCCGCCCCCCTCCAGGGCAGTGACATCTCTGCGTGTGCCTTTCAGAACCAGCTGCTGACGAAAGGCATGGTGATCCTGAGGGACAAGATCCGCTTCTATGAGGGTGAGTCTGGCGGCCCCGCGCCGGGGACCGAGCTCCGGCCACGCTTCTTACTGGTGCGGCTGCTGGGAAGCGTGGCGTTGGCGGCCTCTGTGCCCCCAGGGCTCTGGCTGGGAGGGCAGGCGAGGAGGCGAGACTGCGTCTGAGCCCAGGAGGGGCCCCTCCTGGGGACAGCGTGTGCCCCCCCCCCCGCTGGAGCCCGGGGGAACAGAGAGACATCTCGGCAAGACCCTGCCCCCCCCCATGCTGCCCACGGGGCCTTCCGGTGCCTGTGAGCCCATCCCAGCGGCCTGGAGGAGCCCCAGTTTGAGGACCAGGGAACTAGCTTAGCGCAGGGGTGCCCTGAGGCCGCGGACGCGTGCGGCCGGAGCCGGGCCTGCTTCCTGGCTGGGAACGGCCGCCCAGCTGGAGTCTGGGGGCGGGTTTTCTCGCGTAACGCTCGTGCCCACCCGCGGGACCTCAGTCGTGGTTCCCACTCACAGCTAGTGGCAGCGCGGTGACGGCGGGCCGTTTGTCGGCAGCCACGCTGCATGAAGGGCGGGGCGGGTTCGAGCCCAGCCCGACCCGCACCCCGAGCTCCAGCCCGGCCGGCCCGGCACGTAGGGAGGCGTCTTCCGGCGCCTGTGCCCTAGGGCGCGGGCAGCCACGCGGCGTCGCCTCCCTGCGGGAGCGAGTGGCGCGGGGAGAGATGGAGTCACCGGACAACCCGGCCACAGCACGACGCCCTTGCTCAGGCCGGGCTCGTGCCAGGCCCTGCGCCGAGTCCCAGCTCCGTGAACACTACTGGGCACCTTCTGTGCGCCGGGCACCGCGCGGCTCGCTCTGGGCTCCACGGTCCTGGGTGCTTCAGCCGCCGCTCCCTCGGGTCTCCCGACCACCCTGCAAAGGAGGTGCCATCGCCGCAGCCGCTGAGCACGGAGGGAAACCGAGGCACGCGGGCCTGCTGCCTGGGCCAGCGCTGCTGCTTCAGCTCCTACTCCGACCCTGGAGAGAAGGGGTGTCAGCCCACTTCGCAGAGGAGGATACTGAGGCTGGTGTGTCCCGCCGAACTCAGAACTGCGTGTCCTCCTGTTACCTCGGGGGGCAGCTGGGAGGCAGGGGCCTGAGAAAGGCCTGAGAACCACAGTCGGGGGGAGGCGGAGGCACAGACTGCCGGGGTCCAGGCTGGCTTCCTGGAGGAGGCAGCAAAGGAAGCCAGCAGGACGGGCCGGAGGGTCTGGCGCCCGTGGAGACGGGCTCCCACGCCCCGCTCCTTACTCGGCGCATTCCAGCGCGCCGTGCCTCCCACCAGCCCGGAGCCGCGGTCCTCAGAAAAGACAGGCTTTGTGCTGCTTAGCGGAGTCGTGCCTGCAGGGCCCGTGTCCGCCAGGCCACCCCGCAGGGGAGCACCCGCCCCCTCCAACCCCCCAGCCTGGGGGCCACAGCGCGCTCACTACAGGCCAGGCCCCAGGTAGCCTCCGGGGACCTGGGGGTGGAGGAGATCCAGGCAGCACCTAGCAGGGACTCACCAGCCCAGCTGGGGACCCAGACACGGACCAGAAGGTGACAGTTCAGTGTGATGACTGTCAGGGTGAAGGGAAGCGCTGGGGAAGGAAGGGTCAGCTCCGTCTGGGCAGTCAGGGAGGACTGCATGGAGGTAGTGGCCCTTGAGTCGGGTCTCAAAACCTGGTCTGTTCGGGAGGACGTTTGGCCCCGCAGGACATACCACGGGGACAGTAGCCGACACCACACCCTGCGCGTCAGCCTTCGGAACCCACGCCGTCCGCCTCCAGCCCCAACGTGGTCCCAGAGGAGCTCCTTGAGACCACGCCCTGTGGCTGGCCGTGTCTTCCTGTGCCTCTGCTGGGGGGGGATGGGTGGCCTCGTGCGGAGTGGCCCCAGGACCCTGCTGCCTACCCCCACACTCCCTCCGGCCTCCAGCGAGGCCTTGGACATCAGCCCCCAAGTAGAGAGTCTGGAGGAACAGCCTCGAGGTGGAGTCGCTCTCCTGGACCATTTCTGGGGTGTGGTTCCGTGGTCCCCGACCGTGGCTCGCAGGAGCCGGCTCTGGCTGCACCACGATGGCCCCACAGCGGTCAGCCACGTGAGGTCCCCACGGGGGAGCTCCGGGCCCCGGGCTGGGCCTTCTCTTGCCCGGCAGAACCCGGCCTGTTACAGGTCAGCCTCCCAGACTCCCCAGCCGGCCTTCACCGCGACCCTCCGGGCCGCCCTCCTCCTCAGAGCCCCCGCTGGCATCTCTTCGCTGCCCTGTGGTCATCACAGGGGCTGGGACCCCGGCCGAGATCGGCCCGGTGCTCTCCGCTCGCCGGGGCCCCCGGCGCTCGGCTTGCACCCAGGCGACAGCCCGACCGGGCAGCTACTGAGCACTTGCTACCCGGCGGCTTTCCGCCCCGTGTGTGAGGACGGGTGTGAAGCCCACCTTACAGAGGGTCACACTGGGGTCCCCGAGCAGGGCAGGGCAGGGCTCCGGCAGCGGGCCGCCCGACTGACCGCTGAAGGCCCCGTCCCCCCCTCCCGGCGCCCTAGACCGCAGCGGAGGACTGTGGGGCCCAGAGTCCGTGTTGAACAGCCTCTGCCTTCCCCGCGTTTCCGCCCCGTGGGCTGGAGGGCAGCCCGCGGGCGCCAGCCTGGCCCGTGCCCAGAGCCACCCCACGGCCAGCCAGGGAACTGAGCCGCCTTTCTTCTTGCCGGCGACGGCGGGGACCTGAAGGGACCTCTGTACGGGCAGGGCTCCGCGGGCGGGCAGCACCCCCGCCCCCCGCCCCGTCCGGGTTCCGCAGAGCGAGGTGTGGGCCCCGGGAGGGTCGGGAGCTGGCTGCCGGGCTCGGAGCCTCGGTGCCAGCAGATTGGCCACGCAGAGGCCGTGCCACCTGAGCCGCCCCCTCCAGGCTCCCCTCCCCGGTCCCCCGCACCTACATGGATTTGGGGGCTTTATGGGGCAGGGAGGGCGGAGCCCGGAGCACAAGGTGAGGAGGAGCAGCCCTTGCCAGCTCCCTGCTGCCCTGGCTCGTCCAGAAAGTCCCACATGAGCGGTGTAGTCTGGGCGGCCGGCCGGCACGTGGCACTTCCCCTCCTCCCCAGAGACACCCCCCGCCAGCCGTTCTTTCTCCAGCCAGATTCTAGTCTGACTTCCAGGGGCTGGGGGCGGGGGGGGGGGCAGGGGGGGGGGCAGGGGTGTCCCACCCAGTAGCAGAGGCATTGACGACACATCCCAGGGCCCCGCAGCCGTTCATCCTGACTTTCTGTTCAGTCCAGGCAGAAGGGCCGAGGGCTCAGCGCTTTGCACTTGCTGGGGGAGCCCCGAGCCTGCGTGGGGACACCTCCTCTGTCCTCCCCACCTCAGGGGCTGCCCTCCTTCCCCAGGGCTGGCGGAAATGCCCAGAGCTTGACCACATGCCTGCCTTCCACACCTCTGTTGTGGTTTCCGTGCTGGGGATGTCAGTCAGCCTGGCCAAAACCATCCTCCTAAATCAGCTTGGAGAGCACCTCCTCCAGGAAGCCCTCCCTGCCTGATCCTCTCTGCTTCCTGCTTCTGCCCTGGGCGTGTAGCTGCTCTTGGATATGGTCTCCCTCACTTCCAGGTCCCCACCTCAGGCAGCCCAGGGTGGCAGGGACCAGGGCCTGATCTCTTGGAGACTCCCAACTCTTCATCTGCCCGTTGAGGTCACCCCTTCATGGACAGATGACCGTGCCCATAGTTGCCATTCAGGGTCCTGCTTCCATGTCCTGTGACAGGTCTGGGGACTTTTGAGGCTCCCCTGTTCACCCAGGGGGTCGGCGCAGAGCAGGTGCTCTGTAAACATCTGTGTGGGTGGCTAGGTCCCCCAGCTGCTTGAGGGCATGGTGATCGGGCGGGACCCGGATGTGTGTGCTGCGGCTCCTGGGGGGGCAGGGGGGTGGGCGGGGCTGTGTGGGTCTGGTGTGTGATGGGGTCGGGAACCAGCAGCGGCGCTAACCAGCCCTTCCTCCGCCCCGGGCCCCGTTTCAGCCCATTTCATCCCTGCAGCCCTGGGAGCTCGCCCTTGCACTGTCCCGTTTTGTAAGCAGACCCCCGGCCTCAGAGCCGCTAAGTGCTGTGTGCTGTCGGCCTGGGGGCAGGCGACGCCCCTCGGGCCCCTCGGACGCCCAGTCCACTCCTGTGTCCTCCTGCGGGCGAGAGGAAGGACCCTGTCGGGGAGGGGCCCGCCCAGGGCAAGCAGTGATGGCTCCCTGTGCTCACAGGACAGAAACTGCTAGACTCGCTGGCGGAGACCTGGGACTTTTTCTTCAGTGACGTGCTGCCCGCGCTGCAGGCCATCTTCTATCCGGTGCAGGTGAATGGCCCCCGGGGAGGGGGTTCATGGCCCGGCTGCAGGCGGCCCCGCCCGGTGATGGGCACGTCCCCGGACCTCCCGGAACCTGTTTCCCACCCCCAATGTGGACATCAGGACAGTTCCCTTGTCCGGGCCCCGCTAAGCCCTGAGCAGCACATAGTAGGCTGCATCCAGCACATAGTAGGGCCTTGGTGTGTGGCAGTGACCCTTTCCTTGGCTGGGGAAGCCGATGGGGGCCTGTCTTCAGGACGGGGGTCACCCAGGGAGGACGGGATAGAGGGGAACCGAGGGTCAGGGAGGCCATGGCCCCGGGTCTGTGGACACGGAGGGAAGCAGGGGTCTCCCATGACAGGGCAAGGAGCCGTCGGTGCGCCAGCTGGCCCTGCTGCACTTCCGGAACACCATCACCCTTAGCGTGAAGCTGGAGGACGCACTGGCCCGCGCCCATGCCCGCGTGCCCCCCGCCATCGTGCAGATGCTGCTGGTGCTGCAGGTGGGTGGGGCCCCGGGGAGGCCATGCTCGCTCCTGTACTGGGAGCGTCGGGGGGGGGGGCAGGCTCCCCAGACCCAGAGCGCATGACTTGTCAGAGCTGGGGAGAGGGAAGCGGGAGCGGCCCAGGCGTCGGAAAAAGAGGGGAGTTCAAGAGCCCAGGAGTGCGAACGGGCCCAGAGCTGTCCCTCCTGGGCGGGGGGGCTGTGCCTTCACACCCCTCACTCCCCACAACAGTTCCGGACATTTCTGGTGCGGATGGCTTTCCCCCGAGAGGGCAGCTCTGGGAAGGCGCCAGCAGCTGGGGGCGGGTGGCCTGCCCAGGACGGCAGAGGATGTGATGGGCCACCGACAGCCTTTACTGCAAACAGGGTCTTTAGCAAACTGCCGCACCCCAAGCCCAGTGATGCGCACGGCACCCTGCGGTTCCCCAGCTTCTCCCACCCACTGTGACAGGTAGGCTGTCAGCCTGCCCATTTTACAGGTGGGAAACAGGATCCTCGCTTGCCCAGAGCCACCAAGGCCAGGCCCCACCCAAGGCTGACAGGCTCCGGGGTCGTGTTCGTTGTCCCCCAGCCTCACCCCTGCCGTGCACGTGGGCGTCCTCCATCAGGGTCTTCGGGGCTGGTCCTCAGGTCCCAGGTGGCCAGTGTAGATTCCAGGGCAAGGGAGGGGCTGATTGGGCGTAGGGGTGTGTGAAGGGTCCCAGCCGGGAGCTGGTGGTCGTCCAGGCAACCAAGCGGATGCGGGCGGGGCTGCTGCCGGGCGTTTGAAGGATTTAGGTTGGACCTTGGCTGGGTTGAGCAGGGTGCCTTTCAGCCCCTTTCTGCGCCTCAGTGACGCAGTGAACCCGCCAGCCTGCAGGGCACGTTCAGGGGTGACGGGGAGAGAGCAGATGTCACGCCCTCTGTGGGGCTTCTGGGAGCCCGCCGAGGCTGGGCTGGGCTTTAGAGCCAAGACGAGGGTCCCACCTCCATCCCACCCATGAGCAGCACCCAGGCGGGTGGCCAGGCTGGGGCGCTGCTGCCCCCTGGTGGCCTGTGTGCCTGGCGGCTTCCTGGGCTTGGCGCCCCCACTGTCCTCCTGGCCTGCGCTTGAGTGACCTTGTCTCACATCCCCGTGAACTTGTCCCGGGTGGGTCTGAAGTCACAGCTGCTGGTTAGCGGGTGCCGCGGGCCTACTGTGTGCCATCGGCCTCACCGGCGGTGAGTTCCTTCCCCCCCCACCCCCGCCCCGCCGTCGCTGGGGTGGAGGCAGTTTCCGGGGAACGTGGGGTCCCTGGTGTCCAGCTAGATGGCCTGGGGGGTGCCCGTGGAATCCCGCCCCCCAGACCTTTGGTGTCTGTGCTGAGGCCCTTCTCTCATTCTTGCTGTTAGGAATTTGGGTCTTCTCTTTATTAGCCTGGCCGGAGGCTTAGCGATATGGCAGGTCTTTTCGAAGAGCCTGCTTTTGGGTTTTTTCCTCTATCAGTTCCCTGATTCAGTCTCATTGAGTTCTGCTCTTTTTATCTCTTTTCTTCCGCTTCTGTCGGACTTCATTTGCTTTTCTTTTTCGGGGTTCCTGAGGTAGAAGCCTAGACGATTGATTTTCGGGCTTTGTCTTTTACATTTGTTCGATCCTACACTTTCCCTCAAAGCACGGCTCTCAGTGCTTCCCATAAACGTGGGTCTGTTCTCATTTTCCTTCGTTTCAAATCACTTTAGGGTATTTGTGAAGACTTCTTCTTTGACCCGTGTGTTATTTAGAAGTGACGGAGTGGCTTTGTCTCCGTAAGCGGGGATGGCTCCGTAAGAACTTTTCTGTTCTTGGTTCCTGGTTTAGTCTCGCCAAGGTCCGAGAGCAGCTCGTGCCCTGGGACCTCCTGCCCTTGCTGCATGGGGCCATCCAGTGACTGTTTGCCTCCCTCCCGCCTTTGCAGGGGGTGCATGAGTCCCGGGGTGTGACCAAGGACTACCTGCGCCTGGAGACGCTGATCCAGAAGGTGGTGTCGCCCTACCTGGGCACGTATGGCCTCTACTCCAGCGAGGGCCCCTTCGCACACTCCTGCATCCTGGGTAAGGCTTGACTGGGCCTCGGGCGGGAAGCTGGGTGACCACTGGCCCCGTCCACCTCTGCCCAGGGCCCGGGCCTCCCAGGGAACAGACGGCCAGACCAGACCCCACTGGGGGTTTGCTTTCCAGCCATGCGGCACACCTGTCCTGAGCATCCTCCATGAGCCCAGCCGTGTGCTGGGCCCTGGACCCACTAGGGCCGGGGGTCCCTCCTTCGAGAACTGAGGGGGGCCTGGCAAACAGAAACTGTATACGGTGACATGCTGACTCCCCCGAGAGCCTCGCAGAGGCTTCAGCGTTCCCAGTGAGTCACGTCTGTGCTCAATCCTGAAAGTCAAAAGCTGGCCAGCAGAGGACGCAGCATGTGCAAAGGCCCTGAGCCCAAGAAACCTAGCTTGTTTGGAGGATCGCAGGGGAGGGGAAGGGGGCTGACGCTGCGTGGCCTGTGTGGTGAAGCCAGCCACCTTGCTCCTTTAACAGACGGCCCGCGGGTTCCTTCAGCTCTGTAAATAGAGCGGCTACTGTGTGTGGGGCCCCTGTTCTTGACCCTGAGGGGTCAGCAGGGACCAGGCCCCTCCCACATGGGCTCTCACCATCAGGGAAGGCAGACCAATGAGTCAACAGGCCCCAGATGAGTCCCCAAGGTGACCCACACCCAGGCAATGATAAGAGGCTTGTGGCGGGAGGCCAGACAGGAAGGTGACTGCCCAGCCGAAGGACCAGGAGGGGCCAGGCCTAGGGAGCGGGACACGTAGAGCGTCCTGGGCGGAGGGGACAGAGGCACAAGGGCCACAACGGAGGAGAACTGGGAGCTGCCCGGGCTCCGTACGGTGCTGGACGCCAGGACCCTGCCAGCTAGGAAGGCGCCTCTGTCTCCTGCCCTGGAAGGGCCCCTGAGCCGCTGGCCGTGCTCAGTGCTGCCACGGAGCCTGTGCCCCGTGGAACCTCGGGGCCCTGAGGGGGAGCCCCAGCCCTGCCCCTCCCCCTCCCCTGCCCTAGTATTTCACCACTTCCTGACCTATGCCCCACCCACCTGGGCTTGTCCCCCCCCCCCCCCCCCGCCAGTCCCCCGCCCAGCTTCCGCCCATCCAGGGTGAGGCTGGGACTGAGGACGGGAGGAAGGAGTCCTATAGGGGCAGACCAGTGTCAGAGCCGGGGTGGGAATCCGTGTACCCCTCCCTCACTCGCCAGGCCGCCCCAGCAGGGGTGAGGCGGGGCTGGGCTGGGGATCTGCGCCCATTGGGCTCCCCCCCCCCCCCCCCCC